AATGTCTACGTGTCAGGATTGACCCTGTGTGTGTGTGTGTGTGTGTGTGTGTGTGTGTGTGTGTGTGTGTGTGCGCGCGTGTGTGTACCAAAAGTCAAAAGTGGAATTGAAACTCCATGTTCAACTGTAAAACACGCATACACAAACACAACTGGTGAGTTAATTTAATCAGAAAAAAAAAATGGATTGGATTGTGGCGTCCTTGTTGGTCTCTGAGCTTGGAGGTTTTCTTGCAGACATTTCATTACCAAACTACATGACATCATCAGTGCCCTAGTTGTGCATCAATCAATGCACCACCGCAACACACTGATAATGTTACTTAATTTGGTGATGATGGTTTGAAAGAAAACCATCAAGCTCAGGGATTATCAAGGACCCCAACAGGTGAGTTTCAATCACACCAATATGGCTATTATCATTCTTTTTTGGACCATACCTCATTCCTTGCTCAAACTGGTCTAAGGCTGTTTACTACAAATGCATAGAGGCATAACCATTGGTTTAGACTGCTAAAGATCCAGGAGACTGTTATGTAAACAGTCAGCTGCAATTTCCCCAGGATCCATGATGAAACCTTGCTGGATCATATGGTTACAATCTAAAGTCTCCTCTTTACAAGAATGAATGAACAATGTTGTACGGTATAGTTTGGTTCTGAATAGGAAATAATTCTGTTGCTGGAATATATATATAAACTCTTCTTAGTAAATCTAGCTGAAAGAAATGATGTAAGAATTATCCTTGGACAAGAATTCCTTTCATTTTCCAGCATTTATCCAAAGAAGAGAACATTCGTAGCTCAAGGTTGAACTGTGGGGTCTCTGAGCTTGATAGAATAACATAGAATAGAATTCTTTATTGGCCAAGTGTGATTGAACACACAAGGAATTTGGTGCAGATGCTCTCAGTGTGCATAAAAGGACAAGATAAATTCATCAAGAATCATAAGGTACAGCCCTTCATGATAGTCATAGGATACAAATAGGCAATCAAGAAACAATCAATATCAATATAAATCGTAAGGACGCAAGCAACAAAGTTACAGTCATACAGCCATAAGTGGGAGGAGATGGGTGATAGGAATGATGAGAAGATGAATAGTAATGGTTTTCTTGCAGAAGTTTCATTACCAAAGTAGGCCACAACATCAGTACACCAGCAAGCTCAGAGAACACCAAGTACCCCACTTTTATCCAAAGTGTGATAAACGGCTGGGGAGATGAATGGTCTAAATCCCAGCACATCTTTCATGCACACTGCACCATGGACTGGGATACTTTCTATTTCTTAGAAAACAAGAAGTTTAGCTCAGGGGCAATATACTTAGCCCAGTGATTCTCCAAAGGAACAACTTTTAAGATGTGTGGATTTCAACTCTCAGAATTCCCCAGGCAGCATGGCTGGCTGGAGAATTCTGGGAACTGAAGTCCACAGATCTTAAAGTTGCCACCTTTGAAGGCAACACTGGCTTAGCCTCTAAGCCATGGGACAAGGGCCATACACCCAGCAGCGAACCGAAGCCAGAAAATGAAAGAGAGAGGGCCAAGCCAAGATGAAAGGTAATTTAGGGTTAATCAAAATGAAGCAATTAAACACAATGAAAGCGATTACTCCCTGTTATTTCGTAATTAAGCACTAAAGGTTACAATTCAGCAGAAATAGTTGGAGAAGCTTGAGAATCATCCACAAAGGATCGAGGGGGAGACATACAAGCGTGGGACTCACAGTTGAAGTTTAGAGCTACCGATGTTTTTGCCAGAACTTCATACTCACAAAGACTAAGCCCAGAGCACACTTCAAAAAATCTTGCACAGGTAGTCCTCGACTTATTGCCATTTGATTAGTGACCGCTTGAAGTTGCAACAGCAATGAAAAAAGTGATTTTGGACCCTTTCCCACCCTTGCAGCCACTGCATGTTTGATCTCCACGGTCACGTGATCAAAATTCACATGCTTGGCAACTGGCATGTATTTATGACGGTTTGCAGTGTCCTGGGGGTCATGGGATCCCCTTTTGCAACCTTCTGACAAGCAAAGTGAAGCCAGATTCACTTCACAATCATGTTAATAACCAAACAATACACTGATTCACTTAACAACCATGGTAAGAAATGGAGCAAAAGTCACAAAACAACACAGTGATTCACTTAACAACCATGGTTAAGAAAGGTCCTAAAATGGAGCAAAAGTCACTAAACAACACAGTGATTCACTTAACAACCATGGTTAAGAAAGGTTCTAAAATGGAGCAAAAGTCACTAAACAACTTGCTTAGCAATAGAAATTTGGGGCTGCTTTTTGGTCAATGACTACCTGTATCTCAGTTTTACAATAGAAAACATATTCTCCATTATTACCCTTTATTAAGAGAAAACATGCAGATGTGGGCACACAGACACACACACACACACACACACACACACACACACAGGTAGAGATGCCTTCTTTCTGGCTTTAAATAGAGATCTGCCCCAGGAGAATGGAAATGCTAGGGAAAGAGTTAGAGTTTAGAAAAGGGGTGTGCATAAGTGCACCAGCATGCCTAACGTCCCTCTCCTACTGTCCCCATTTATTTGTACCTATTTCCTGTGTTCTTATTCGTGCTTATTCTTATTCCTGTTATCTTGTACCCAAGTGACAAAACAAACAAACAAATGGATAAATAAATAAATGGATAAATAAATAAGTGGATAAATAAATGGATAAATAAATGGATAAATAAATAAATAAATGGATAAATAAATAAATGGATAAATAAATAAGTGGATAAATAAATAAATGGATAAATAAATAAATAGATAAATAAATGGATAAATAAATCCTACACTCCATCAGCTTGAACTCCTTTAATGTCCTTACCTCGGCCACTCCGTCCGACAAAGCGAAGGTCATTGAACCTGGCCACCTGATTCTTCATTACAGCCGAAGCATTCCGAAGCTCCGCCGAATAGTTCTCATCATTGCCAGCCATGACCGTTACCACTGTCCCATCGGGGACGTCCCCAAGGGATACCACCTAGAAGGAATCAAAGGTGGCATTTAGAATTATTCATTAATTAAAACTGTCCATTAATTGTAACCATTCAAGGGACATTTTTGGAGCCGGGGCTAAACACTATATAACCTGAGCAGGGTAGGTGTGAGTGTGGGTGGAGGGCACAGCCAGTACTCTCGCGCGAGTCCCAAATTGCAATCCTACAGATTAGAATCATTGAACCACAGGGACCTCTAGGGCCTTCTAGTCCAGGGGTTTCCAACCTTGGCAACTTTAAGACTTTACTGGCTGAGAAACTCTGGGAGTTGAAGTCCACAAGTCTTAAAGTTGCCAGGGTTGGAGACCCCTGGACTAGTCCAATCCCCAAGGCAGGAGCCTTACACCATCCCAGTCCAATGGGTGTTTGAAGAAAGAATAAACACACTTAAAGGCTGCAGTTCTAAACCTTGACTTTCCCAACATCGGGGATACATTGGCATTATAATTTGCAGGGCATCCTGTTCACATGACCACAGAAGTAAATCAACAGGATTTATTTCTGAGAAAATAAGATTGCATTGGATTGTTATTGGGGGAACTTAAAGATAGAAGAACTTGATTTGGGAAACTTTGACAAGGAATAGGTTGAAATGTAATATAAACTTGGAATGGACATGTCCATTGGTATTTACACTTTCCACCATTATTCTGGACATGTTTTCATTTATAGGATATGTTTTCATGTATTTATTTATGCATTATTTATTACTGCAATTTCTACACCACTTGGTTGCAAAAGGGAAAAAAATCAGAAAACAAACTTTGTGTTTACATATTCTGATATTGAGAAAATATACATTTAGAAATGTCTTCCATTCTCTTTTCCTTTTTTGAAAAATTGTTTAGATAAACATTTTTAAAAAGCGATTAAATGCATTTAAATGTTCTCACGATCAGGATCAGGACAGACATAACAAAAAATTATTAAACTAATACAGTATACATTACTACCCACAACTCTGGGTGGAATTAGTTACGAATGAGTAAAAACAAACTGGGGCAGGAATGAAATTGTATTGTCTGTTGCTAATTTTAAGGACAACCTTCTCAGAGTGAACGCTTTTGAATACAGCATAGACAGAAGATCATCTCACGCAAAAGAATTATTTTACGGTGGCTGCTAAGCCTCATCAGCTTTCGACATTAACAAAAAAAATGTGTTATGTACTGACCATGTTTCTCTTTCTGCTCAGGCATTTTTTTATATCTATTCTTTATATGGTTTGTCGTTTTGTATGGCATTGTAAGAGCTTTCCTTTGGGATGACTTTGAATGAAAAACTGGGCTGACATTATACCAAGAAAATAAAATTAAAGAGCCACTCTGAATGAACTTTACATAACAGAATAATAGTTTTGGAAGGAACCTTGGAGGTCTTCTAATCCAACCCCATGGTCAAGCAGGAAACCCTGTACTGTTTCAGGCAAATGGCTATCCAATCTCTTATTAAAAATCTCCAGTGTTGGAGCACCCAGAACTTCTGGAGGCAAGCTGTTCCACTGATTAATTGTTCTAACTTTTAGGCACAGAATAAAATTATAATACAGTTCATTATTAGTAATATTTCCTAAGCTCTTGAAAAGGACAGTTATTATGTATCAGCCTAAAATACAGACATACAAATGCTTATACGAAGAGTTAAGCCTAGTGAAATTCTCTCTCTCTCTCTCACACACACACACAAACACAAAATAAATGTGAAGTTATTGCATCAGTAAACACTTCAATTATTATTTGGCAAGTTGTATTAATTGAAATCTAAGCCACTTCAATCAATATTTTAATTAGCATTAAAAACAGTTTTTAAACCATTGATTTAATAGTAGTTCCCTATTATTACTTTTAAATCACTGTTAATGCAGGGTAATTTACAAAATAGCTCAAGCAAGATTTGTAGCGTTGCCTCATTCTTACAACTAAGTCATGCAACAGATTTATTTTGTTGTAAATTTTCTGCAGTGTTTAATTTCCCCAGTAGTTCTCAAAATGTTCCAAGATCACAGCTTTCCCATGGTAAGTTCCCTATGCTATGTAACTACTATTGTCTAAGAAACAAGTAATAAAAATACTTGTAGTTGAAATATCTGAGAGTCATAAGGTTAGAGAAGAAACAGGATGCCATTTTTTTAAAAAAAACTGGTAACCATAAAAGTTATACAGACTACAATAAAAGATTCATGGGACATTTTTATAAAGTTTAAAAAGTTATTGTGCGATGCGCAAACTGTTTATTTTTATCAGGATAAAATGAGATGCTTAAATTGGCTGGCTGGAACTGAAATATCCTTCCGATGAATGATTCCATTGATTTTTCAGAAAAACGTCCATTAAGACCAGGCAACTTTTAAAAGACAAAGCTTTTGACAAGTTGGGTATTATAAGAGTTAAAGTAGTAGAAGGAGAGATTCATTATAGAGATTAATTGCTGATTATTTCATTGTTTAATTAAAACTCCATAGCTTGTGGGCTTTTAGAGAGAGGATATTAGACCCCGATAATTTAAAAAATATTATATATCCTTTCAGGTCAATATTTTCCTTTAAAAAAAGCAAAACTGATAATGTCTTTACCAGGACCAAACCTTATACCTGGAAAAAAGGTATCCAGTTTTGATAGGTGGCACCTCTTCTCTCTCTAACTCTAAAGCATGCTGGGCTGGGGGATTCTGGGAGTTGAAGTCCATTCATTTTTAAGTTGCCAAGTTTGGAAATGATGCACTATGGGCATCTGTAGATGTCCTTTCTATCTCTATCCAAGAAATGAATGCATAGGGTTATACCAGTGGCATCTAACCTTAGCTAGATTAACAACAATATCATACAATCATTCTTCAAGGTGATGGAGGGACTATAGAAATAAGGGCTCATTTTACCCTAGGTTATGGTCATGTGATAGAATAATATTTTGTTAGGGTTTTTTTTTTTGAAAATATTATTATTACAAAAAAAATGGTTGAATACTCGTGTAATTTGGGGCTGGGATCTTGAGGGATAAGATCAGATGCTACATTGAAAAATAGGAATGCAATGGCTTTCTTGCTAATTATGTCTCAGTGTTGGGAATATCTGGAAACTCTATTTATAATTCATTAATATTAATAGCATTTTTCAACCACTTGATTAAAAATATTTTAGTAAAATTAGGATAATGAATCTACTGGGGCCAGAATCATAGTTTTGTCACATCTAGAGAGTTTATATTTATTATGTTAATGGGAAAATGAATTTTGTCAATTCTCATATTTGAAAATTATGAACAATTTTTGATTCGTTGTCTTTCTTCTTTTCTGCTCCTCATTACAACTTTCTATATTCTTCAGTTCTTGGTCCCCCGCACTCAGACCCCCTGTGGATTACTATCCAATAAAAGTATAATGGAAAAATTGTTGGGTTAACATTATTTTGATTCTTTATTTTTCTCTCTCTCCTAACAATGAGTCTTTTATTCAAATCCAGTTAAAATAAGAATATCCTAAAGGGGCTTTTTCCAAAAAGCCACTGGGGGTTTTGGTTTTTAAAAAACAACAACATTTGTGCTTCTCATCCAAGATGCATCTTCAATTCTTCAGAAAATGGAAGAAGCAAAACATTTCCAAAGAAAAATAACAAGAAAGTCCAGGTGCCTAGAAAAAGCACCTTAGAGACAACCATGATCTGGATGGGAGAATCTCCATAGACATTAAATAAAACATTAAATTAATTCATGTTTTATTTTTTACAAAATCCATTTTACCCACCTTATTTGGGCTTTGATTAATTAGGAGGTTTATTGATACATAGAGTGAATAATTTGATATACTTTCCCCTATTCTCAAGACTACCTGAGAGGTAACTTGGTAGCGATGTATTTTAAAAACTAGTTTTCTTGATAGCAATGTGTCCCATCAAAAGTGGGAAATAATGTTTAAAAGCTAAACTCTTTCAAAAGTGTTTCTCAAGCTTGCCAATTTGAAGATATGTGGACTTTGACTCCAAAATTCAGTCATTTAAAACTCAGCCCTCTTTCATTCTATATGACAAGGACTGCAAAGTGACCAAACCGGTCAGTTCTAGGGGAGATCAACCATGACTGCTCTTTGGAAGGCCAGGCCCTGAAGAGGAAACTCAAATACTTTGGCCACCTAATGAGAAGGAAGAAGGACTCGCTGGAGAAGAGCCTAATGCTGGGAACGATTGAGAACAAAAGAAGAAGGGGACGGCAGAGAAGGAGGTGGCTGGATGGAGTCACCGAGGCGTGAGCTTAAATGGACTTCAGAGGATGGTAGAGAACAGGAAGGCCTGGAGGAACATTGTCCATGGGGTTGTGATGGGTTGGACACGACTTCACAACTGACAACAACAACAACAAGAATCTCTTTCATTTTCTACGACAAGGAGGAAATAGGACAACTGTGCTTTTAATTCAAAGGCCTGCCTGTAAACACAAGTTTTTGGGGGAAATAAATATGAATCTGAGACTAAGTAGGGACAGTTTACTTGCAAATTCAGTGGGAAATTAATTGCCTCTTTATAGGAACCTTGGAGGGGAAGAGCCGTGCTAGTGTGCGGTTGTCAAAAAATGCAGAGGAGTCTGGTAAAACATTTTATTAAAAGGTATCAGATTTTGTGAGCTACACCTACTACCTGCACTATCAAGGCAACAGCTAAGGGGCTTGACAAAGAAAAACAAGTGTTATCTCAGGATTAAACTCCTTTCATCTGTGACATGATGCAGTCGGTTTAGTGCATTGGATCAGGCCCTAACTGTACAGACCTGCCCAGTTTATGGAAATAAATCTTGTAGAGATCAGTAAGACTTGTTCTCAAGTAAGTGGCTGTAGGATTACAGCCTAAAAGTGTATAATTTGGCGGCATCACACCCAGTTCAACTTCACTTGTTAATTAGTTTAATGGATAGATTAAGACCTTGCTTTGCTAAATTATTATTTTTGTTTATGCAACATCCTCAGAGGTTCATAATCAGAAGAGGCTGCTTCCTGCCTC